GTTAAGTTCTGTTCTAGTTCTGTTCTAGTTCTGTTCTAGTTCTGTTCTAGTTCTGTTCTAGTTCTGTTCTATTTCTGTTCTAGTTCTGTTCTAGTTCTGTTCTAGTCTGTTCTAGTTCTAGTTCTGTTCTAGTTCTGTTCTATTTCTGTTCTAGTTCAGTTCTAGTTCAGTTCTAGTTCAGTTAGTTCAGTTCTAGTTCAGTTCTAGTTCAGTTCTAGTTCTGTTCTATTCTGTTCTAGTTCTGTTCTAGTTCTGTTCTAGTTCTGTTCTAGTTCTGTTCTAGTTCTGTTCTAGTTCTGTTCTAGTTCTGTTCTAGTTCTGTTCTAGTTCTGTTCTAGTTCTGTTCTAGTTCTGTTCTAGTTCTGTTCTAGTTCTGTTCTAGTTCTGTTCTAGTTCTGTTCTAGTTCTGTTCTAGTTCTGTTCTAGTTCTGTTCTAGTTCTGTTCTAGTTCTGTTCTAGTTTGTTCTAGTTCTGTTCTAGTGTTCTAATTCTGTTCTAGTTCTGTTCTAGTTCTGTTCTAGTTTGTTCTAGTTCTGTTCTAGTTCTGTTCTAGTTCTGTTCTAGTTTGTTCTAGTTCTGTTCTAGTTCTGTTCTAGTTCTGTCTAGTTCTGTTCTAGTTCTGTTCTAGTTCTGTTCTAGTTCTGTTCTAGTTCAGTTCTAGTTCAGTTCTAGTTCTGTTCTAGTTCTGTTCTAGTTCAGTTCTAGTTCAGTTCTAGTTCTGTTCTAGTTCTGTTCTAGTTCTGTTCTAGTTCTGTTCTAGTTCTGTTCTAGTTCTGTTCTAGTTCTGTTCTAGTTCTGTTCTAGTTCTGTTCTAGTTCTGTTCTAGTTCTGTTCTAGTTCTGTTCTAGTTCTGTTCTAGTTCTGTTCTAGTTCTAATTCTGTTCTAGTTCTAATTCTGTTCTAGTTCTAATTCTGTTCTAGTTCTGTTCTAGTTCTGTTCTAGTTCTGTTCTAGTTCTGTTCTAGTTCAGTTCTAGTTCAGTTCTAGTTCAGTCTAGTTCTGTTCTAGTTCTGTTCTAGTTCTGCTCTAGTTCTGTTCTAGTTCTGTTCTAGTTCTGTTCAAGTTCTGTTCTAGTTCTGTTCTAGTTCTGTTCTAGTTCTGTTTTCTAGTTCGTTCTAGTTCTGTTCTAGTTCTGTTCTAGTTCGTTCTAGTTCTGTTCTAGTTCTGTTCTAGTTCTGTTCTAGTTCTGTTCTAGTTCCTGTTCTAGTTCTGTTCTAGTTCTGTTCTAGTTCTGTTCTAGTTCTGTTCTAGTTCTGTTCTAGTTCTGTTCTAGTTCTGTTCTACTTCTGTTCTAGTTCAGTTCTAGTTCAGTTCTTGTTTAATAGCAACACTAGGCTATAAATTTTTTTATTGTGTTATCTAAATGTTCTATTGAAAACCTTCCAGACGTATACTTACTATTAATTCAAAAATAATTCATTATCAAGTATACGCTTCAGTTTCTCTTTCTATTTTACTTTAACTATTGATTTTATTCTATCAACTTAATTATAATTGCAACTATTTGTAACCAAATGAAAACCACTATCACCATGATATTTATTTAAACATTTAAATTTAGTTTTTGTAATTATTAATCTGTGTGTTGTATGTGTTTGTGGTCGTTGGCTCATGTGTGCTTTAAAACAAATACATAAACAATTTGAAATCATATAGAAATTCTCACTTAAATTTTTATCAACAGTGAATACACTGTTGCATCTGTATGTCCATTTATGTGTTTGTATCAGTCATTTTATGTTTAAAACGTTAATGAATAGATTATTTCGACTGTTAAGTTGCTGTTGTGAACGAGTGATGATGTGGTTTTATATGCCTCACTTAATTTGATATGTTTTTGTATGAAGGTTGGTGTGTGTGTTTTTTTGCTGTAATTATATTATTATATTACTTTAGAGTAATGCGTTGTAAAATGTTTTAAAATTTTAATATTTTAAACTAATTCCGAATAAATTTGTGGGAAAAATATTTTTGTGTAAATTTGATTAGGAGAATATTTAAATTTTAATTTTGTTTTAGCGTTTTTGTAATGATAATTAACATTTGTAAAACATAATTTATTTAAATAAAATTTTACAAATTTATTTTATTTTTAAATTTATTTCATATTAGGCCTTAATTGGAAAAAAAATTATAGGAATTTTATTTTAAATTTATTTAGGTATCTGTGGTGTGCTTTCATTTTTTTTGTCTCTTTTATAGACTTTACAATTTGTCTTGACTTTTACACCTTACTTGAGCTAAACAGTTACAAAATAATAAATATTTTATGGCATTAAAAAATAATTTATCAATTTTATGACGACAATCATAGACTATGGCTGCATAGAAATACTTGAAGAAAAAAGTAAATACAAAAAGAAAACGGAAAGAAAATAAAATGTATAAATTTCCAAATAATAAATCTATAATATTGATAAATATAACTTATTTATGGCTTTGACACAAGATATTCGAGTGTTACATGAATGAAAAAATGTAAAAGATATAGAGAAAAACCTCAAACACGTTTATGGCCAATACTGTTTGCTTTTTTTTTCTCGATTTTTGGCTAAAAGCCTAAACACAGCTCTAGTTCACAAGCAAATAAATATGTTTAGTTATTTGCAACAACAAAAACATAATTCATGTGGTTTGGTGAAATAAAAAAAACACACAGACACACAAAATAACCATAATAAAAATACTGTTAGACTTATTGCATATAAATTGAATTTTTTGATAATAAAATATAGAAAATATCTATATTTTTGTTTATTTTTATCATGAAGTTATAAGGAGTGCATGTCTTTCTTAAGTCTTACAGTATGTGTGAAGAAATTATAACAATTATGTCCGTCCATCCGTCCGTCTGTCCTTCCGACAGTCTGTAAGCATAAAGGCCAACAACTTTATTTATATAAATAAAAACATTTTAATAGCTTCTCTGAGTTTATCAAGTGACACTCGGAAGGAAATATGTTTAAATCTTTCTTTTATAAGATTTTATATAAAAATGTTGATAAAATTATTTACAAATAAATGAAATATTTTCAAAAAAATTTTGTTTGCTAAATCTTATGTTGTATACTTTACTCCTTAACAATTAAAAAAAAAACTAAAATTAAATGTTTAAATAAATAAACATGGTAATAGTGGTTTTAGTTTGGTTACAAAATAGTTACAATTATAATTAAGTTTATAGAATGAAATCAATAGTTAAAATAAAATAGAAAGAGAAACTTAAGCGTATACTTGATAATAAATTATTTTGGAATTAATAGTAAGTATACGTCTGGAAGGTGAAAGAGATTTTCAATAGAAAATGTAGATAAATAATAAAAAAATTTATAGAATAAAATCAATAGTTAAAGCAAAGAATATTTATTACAAAATACGCATCTCGATGTGAGGGCTGTTATGATTTACACGTATTCTTTATGTGTTAGGACCCGCTATTGTATGTATTAAAAATTCTTTGATTAAAGTGAAAGAGAAACTGAAGCGTATACTTGTTATGAATTATTTTGTAATTAATAATAAGTATACGCCTAAAAGCCTACACACATTTTCAAACAAGAAAGTATAAAAATACTTAATACATGATAGTTTTGACTGAAAATTGTTCCCACAAATTATTTCGAACACATTGTTATCACAAGCCGAGGATTCTATGTAAATGGTCAGTGTCTATCGCAATGGTCATTGCTATGTCAAGGGCTAGCTCAATTAAAACTAACGAACGAACGAACGAACGAAACGAACGAACGAACGAACGAATAACGAACGAACGAACGAACGAACGAACGAACGAACGAACGAACGAAAAACCGAACGAACGAACAACGAACGAACGAACGAACGAACGAACGAACGAAACGAACGAAACGAAGAACGAACGAACTAACGAACGAACGAACGAACGAACGAACGAACGAACGAACGAACGAACGAAACGAACGAACGAACGAACGAACGAAGAACGAACGAACGAGAACGAACGAAGAACGAACGAAACGAAACGAAACGAAAAAAGAAAAAACGAACGAAAGAAAAAGAACGAAAACGAATAACGAACGAACGAACGAACGAAACGAAAAAAGAACGAACGAACTAAAAACGAACGAACGAACGAACGAACGAACTAAATAACGAACGAACGAACGAACGAACGAAGAACGAACGAACGAACGAAAGAAAACTAAAAACTAACGAACGAAACTAACGAACGAAACTAAACTAACGAACTAACTAACTGAACTAAACTAACTAACTACTAACTAACGAACTAACTAACTAAAAAAACGAACGAACTAACAACGAAAGAACGAACTAACGAAAACTAAAACTAACTAACTAACTAACAACTAACTAACTAACGAACGAACTAACTAACGAACTAACTAAAACTAACTCTAACTAACTAACTAACTAACTAACTAACTAACTACTAACTAACTAAAACTAACTAACTAACTAACAAAAACTAACTAAAACTAACTAACTAACTAACTAACTAACTAACTACTAACAACTAACTAACTAACTAACTAACTAACTAACTAACTAACTAACTAACTAACTAACTAACTAACTAACTAACTAACTAGTTAGTTAGTTAGTTAGTTCTAGTTCTGTTCTAGTTCTGTTCTAGTTCTGTTCTAGTTCTGTTCTAGTTCTGTTCTAGTTCTGTTCTAGTTCTGTTCTAGTTCATTTCTAGTTCTGTTCTAGTTCTGTTCTAGTTCTGTTCTAGTTCTGTTCTAGTTCTGTTCTAGTTCTGTTCTAGTTCTGTTCTAGTTCTGTTCTAGTTCTGTTCTAGTTCTGTTCTAGTTCTGTTCTAGTTCTGTTCTAGTTCTGTTCTAGTTCTGTTCTAGTTCTGTTCTAGTTATGTTCTAGTTATGTTCTAGTTCTGTTCTAGTTCTGTTCTAGTTCTGTTCTAGTTCTGTTTTAGTTCTGTTTTAATGTCTATGTTCTCTCTGCAAATCAATACTTATGTTATTTTTTTATTTAATTCCACTTACTTGTTCCATATCATATCGCCCGATATCAAAGGCATTTCCATCAGTAAAGCCGACAACAAAGATGTCTTTCCACTGCCATTTTTACCCACAATCATGGTCAGCTTGCCACGCGGTATAACAATATCACGTATATATAAAATTTGCATCAACTTTTGAGGATTCCACGAGAATTTACAATCCTTCACCGACACCGCTATATCATCGGGCATTTTTAAGAGTAATGAATCACGATGCCAAGAATCAGTTTTACGATGTAAATTTGTTGTGCCTGGATTGGCGGATGCTGCTGCTGTCACAGCCTGGGTCTGCAGACCAGGCATATGTAGTTTACGCGGTCTTATCACCACATAGGGTGTATTGCGCAATAGTTCTTTGCGAGCATGTAAAGACAGTCTTTTATGATCTTCGGCAAAACGTAAAGGCTCTTTGGATTCACTTACTATTAGGGGAGTGTGAGGCTCTGAGTTGGCCAAGGGGGCAGGTTTATCGGGTATAATTATTTTTATTTTAGGTTTTTCATTAACATTTTTTAACGATATATTCGAGGGTAGAGATTGTGATTTATCCTTGACCTCATACATATCGAGAGAGGCATCACTTTTACTTAAAATACGAGCCATATTGCGTATGCCCTCAAATTGTTTTTGTATTTCATTGGCAGCTAAAAAGGTTTCCAAACGTTTGGTGGAGACCACGGCTGATAATATAATGGGCACGGTAATGGGAAATATTAGTAAAGGAACGGTAAGTTGTTGAAATAAGGCCAAGGCGGAAAATAAACGACTGGCGGTGAATTCGGCTCCAGTTTCACGATACACATATACCGAGAGAGTGACAAAAGTAATTAAAACCGAGGAGATATGAGTCAAAATAGCTGGAATGTATTAATTTCTTAATAGAATTTTGTTATTTTCTTTTTAGCGATATAAAAACTTACTCATTATGGTCCAGTAAAAGGAATCTTTGTTGAGATATTTCAATTCCTGTTTTCGGGCCTCGTTTATTTTCTTTATAAAGACATTATCCCAGGCATTCAATTTGATCAGTTTAATGCCCACAAAACAGTCATGTAGTTTCCTTAAGCGATTATCAGTAAATTTCTAAAGAAAATTTAGAAATATGTTGTTAATAAACTACTAAAAGAAACTTTTAAGTTATACCCCTAAAAGTAGGCTTCAAAAGTTTATCACTTAAATAATAACATTTAACTTAAGCCCTTTGAACTTATTTAAAATATCAGATAAACATTATTTGCTTTTATAAGCTTTTACAATAACTTTAGCATCTATACTAGGAAAATGTTATTAAGGTATAGTTTAAGGCGCAATAACCCTTTAAATGTTTTCTAACAAGAAAATCTTTCAACAAACTTCCAAGAAAAGGAAATTATTCGATATTAAGTAACTTTATAACCCCTCCTAAAGGTATGCTAAACATAACTAATTAACACTAAAGTTAGTTAATAAAATCATATTTCTATGCCATTACCTTCTTTAATATTTACACTTAATTAAAATTAATTTTTAATTTTAATTGTTTTGCCACCCCCCAAAAAACTTTTGCCACAAATTAATTTAACTGCAAATTGCCTGCATACACACAGGTAGCAAGTTTAATTGAAAATAAATAAAGCCTACTTTTTGGTAAAAAAAGAAGCAACATACCAAATAAAACAATAACTTTTGAAACGAGTACATGTAGTATTGTTGTTAAAGCATACTTTAAGGGCTTGCACTCGAGGCAATATACTTTTAGGCACAAAAAAACTTTTTATCAGTTTGTTTAAAAGTTTAATTAAATAAAAAAAAACTTAATACTAAAATAGTGATTTCTACTTACCGCCATAATTTCCGTATTTTGTGACATGGCCTTGCCTATTAGAAACTGTAAAGGTGTCATTGTTAAGATGCACACAAAGGAACCAATAACAGCACTTATGCCTAATTTCAAATACAGCAAATACATAACAATAGCAATCTGTAAAAAAATAATAATAAATATTTCATATTCCACTTTCATAAACCAAAATTTCTTGTTAATTAAATTAACAAATCTAAAAATTTTTTCCCGTATAGCAAATCTATTTAAATCGATAAATTTGCAATATATACATACATACATACATACATACATACATACATACATATGTATGTATAGTTTTAATTGTGTTATTATAATTAATCTTAATTATATAAAACATTTCTACCGGAATTTATTAATGCATTTAATACTAGTTATAAATGCAATGGAAAATTTTCTAAATTTCCTTAGAATTTAATTAAGTTTATAAATAATTTTTGAAATTTCGCAAATCAAATTAATTACATTCACATCAAATATAAGCTTCACATGAAATCAAAAACAGTTGCCTAATTTAAGGAGAAAAACTATTTAAACATTTTAATAGGATTCAGTGAAAACTATAAACTGGACTGGTGGATTCAAGACCAAACTATATGATCAGACTAGAGACTAAACTATAAAATATACTAGACTATAGACTAGACCAGACTATAGACAAGACTATAGACTAGATTATAAACTAGACTATAGACTAGACTATAGACTACACTAGACTATAGACTAGACTGTAGACTAGGCTATAGACTAGAATATAGAGTGGAAGATATACTAGAACATAGACAAGAATATAGACTATACTATCATCTAGACCATAGGTTAGTCTTGTCTATGGTCTAGTATATAATCCAGTCTATAGTCTAGTCAATAGTCTAGTCTATAGTCTAGTCTATAGTCTAGTCTATAGTCTAGTCTATAGTCTAGTCTATAGTCTAGTCTATAGTCTAGTCTATAGTCTAGTCTATAGTCTAGTCTATAGTCTAGTCTATAGTCTAGTCTATAGTCTAGTCTATAGTCTAGTCTATAGTCTAGTCTATAGTCTAGTCTATAGTCTAGTCTATAGTCTAGTCTATAGTCTAGTCTATAGTCTAGTCTATAGTCTAGTCTATAGTCTAGTCTATAGTCTAGCCTATAGTCTAGTCTATAGTCTAGTCTATAGTCTAGTCTATAGTCTGGTCTAGTCTATAGTCTAGTATACTAACTATAGACTAGACTATAGACTAGACTATAACTAGACTATAGACTAGACTATAGACTAGACTATAGACTAGACTATAGACTAGACTATAGACTAGACTATAGACTAGACTAGACTATAGACTAGACTAGACTATAGACTAGACTATAGACTAGACTCGACTATAGACTAGACTAGACTGTAGACTAGATAGCCTAGAATATAGAGTGGAAAATATACTAGAACATAGACAAGAATATAGACTATACTATCCTCTAGACTATAGGTTAGTCTAGTCTATGGTCTAGTATATAATCTAGTCAATAGTCTAGTCTATGGTCTAGTCAATAGTCTAGTCTATAGTCTAGTCTATAGTCTAGTCTATAGTCTAGTCTATAGTCTATAGTCTAGTCTATAGTCTAGTCTATAGTCTAGTCTATAGTCTAGTCTATAGTCTAGTCTATAGTCTAGTCTATAGTCTAGTCTATAGTCTAGTCTATAGTCTAGTCTATAGTCTAGTCTATAGTCTAGTCTATAGTCTAGTCTATAGTCTAGTCTATAGTCTAGTCTATAGTCTAGTCTATAGTCTAGTCTATAGTCTAGTCTACAGTCTAGTCTATAGTCTAGTCTATAGTCTAGTCTATAGTCTAGTCTATAGTCTAGTCTATAGTCTAGTCTATAGTCTAGTCTATAGTCTAGTCTATAGTCTAGTCTATAGTCTAGTCTATAGACTAGTCTATAGTCTAATCTATAGTCTAGTCTATAGTCTAGTCTATAGTCTAGTCTATAGTCTAGTCTATAGTCTAGTCTATAGTCTAGTCTATAGTCTCTATAGTCTAGTCTATAGTCTAGTCTATAGTCTAGTCTATAGTCTAGTCTATAGTCTAGTCTATAGTCTAGTCTATAGTCTAGTCTATAGTCTAGTCTATAGTCTAGTCTATAGTCTAGTCTATAGTCTAGTCTATAGTCTAGTCTATAGTCTAGTCTATAGTCTAGTCTATAGTCTAGTCTATAGTCTAGTCTATAGTCTAGTCTATAGTCTAGTCTATAGTCTAGTCTATAGTCTAGTCTATAGTCTAGTCTATAGTCTAGTCTATAGTCTAGTCTATAGTCTAGTCTATAGTCTAGTCTATAGTTTAGTCTATAGTCTAGTCTATAGTCTAGTCTATAGTTTAGTCTATAGTCTAGTCTATAGTCTAGTCTATAGTATAGTCTATAGTCTAGTCTATAGTCTAGTCTATAGTCTAGTCTATAGTCTAGTCTATAGTCTAGTCTATAGTCTAGTCATAGTCTAGTCTATAGTCTAGTCTATAGTCTAGTCTATAGTCTAGTCTATAGTCTAGTCTATAGTCTAGTCTATAGTCTAGTCTATAGTCTAGTCTATAGTCTAGTCTATAGTCTAGTCTATAGTCTAGTCTATAGTCTAGTCTATAGTCTAGTCTATAGTCTAGTCTATAGTCTAGTCTATAGTCTAGTCTATAGTCTAGTCTATAGTCTAGTCTATAGTCTAGTCTAGTCTAGTATAGTCTAGTCTAGTCTATAGTCTAGTCTATAGTCTAGTCTATAGTCTAGTCTACAGTCTAGTCTATAGTCTAGTCTATAGTCTAGTCTACAGTCTAGTCTATAGTCTAGTCTATAGTCTAGTCTATAGTCTAGTCTATAGTCTAGTCTATAGTCTAGTCTATAGTCTAGTCTATAGTCTAGTCTAGTCTAGCCTATAGTCTAGTCTATAGTCTAGTCTATAGTCTAGTCTATAGTCTAGTCTATAGTCTAGTCTATAGTCTAGTCTATAGTCTAGTCTATAGTCTAGTCTATAGTCTAGTCTATAGTCTAGTCTATAGTCTAGTCTATAGTCTAGTCTATAGTCTAGTCTATAGTCTAGTCTATAGTCTAGTCTATAGTCTAGTCTATAGTCTAGTCTATAGTCTAGTCTATAGTCTAGTCTATAGTCTAGTCTATAGTCTAGTCTATAGTCTAGTCTATAGTCTAGTCTATAGTCTAGTCTATAGTCTAGTCTATAGTCTAGTCTATAGTCTAGTCTATAGTCTAGTCTATAGTCTAGTCTATAGTCTAGTCTATAGTCTAGTCTATAGTCTAGTCTATAGTCTAGTCTATAGTCTATAGTCTAGTCTATAGTCTAGTCTATAGTCTAGTCTATAGTCTAGTCTATAGTCTAGTCTATATTAGTCTAGTCTATAGTCTAGTCTATAGTCTAGTCTATAGTCTAGTCTATAGTCTAGTCTAGTAGTCTATAGTCTAGTCTATAGTCTAGTCTATAGTCTAGTCTATAGTCTAGTCTATAGTCTAGTCTATAGTCTAGTCTATAGTCTAGTCTATAGTCTAGTCTATAGTCTAGTCTATAGTCTAGTCTATAGTCTAGTCTATAGTCTAGTCTATAGTCTAGTCTATAGTCTAGTCTATAGTCTAGTCTATAGTCTAGCCTATAGTCTAGTCTATAGTCTAGTCTATAATCTAGCCTATAGTCTAGTCTATAGTCTAGTCTATAGTCTAGTCTATAGTCTAGTCTATAGTCTAGTCTATGGTCTAGTCTATGGTCTAGTCTATAGTCTAGTCTGTAGTCTAGTCTATAGTCTAGTCTATTCTGTAGTCTAGTCTATAGTCCAGTCAATGCTCTGGTCTATTGTGTAGTCTATAGTTTAGTTTATAGTCTAGCTTATAGTCTAGTTTATAGTCTAGTCTATAGTCTAGTCTATAATCTAGTCTATAGTCTAGTCTATAATCTAGTCTATAGTCTAGTCTATAGTCTAGTCTATAGTCTAGTCTATGGTCTAGTCTATAGTCTAGTCTATAGTCTAGTCTATAGTCTAGTCTATAGTCTAGTCAATACTCTAGTCTATTGTGTAGTCTATAGTTTAGTTTATAGTCTAGCCTATAGTCTAGTTTATAGTCTAGTCTATAGTCTAGTCTATAATCTAGTCTATAGTCTAGTCTATAGTCTAGTCTATAGTCTAGTCTTCAGTCTAGTCTATAGTCTAGTCTAGTCTATAGTCTTGTCTGTAGTCCAGTCTATAGTCTACTCTATAGTTTAGCCTATGGTCTAGTCTATAGTATATTCTATAGTCGAGTCTATAGTTTAGTGTATAGTCTAGTTTATAGTCCAGTCTATAGACTTGTCTATAGTGTAGCCTATAGTGTAGTCTATAGTCTAGTCTATAGTCCAGTCTTGCCTATAGTCTTATATGTATATATTCAATGGTAATTTTATATGTGTAGTTTTTTATTTAAAGCTATAATATTATTGCCTATTGTATGTGGTTGGCATCGCATAAAAATAGTAGCATATTTTCAGGAGACTTATATATGAATAGTTAACCAACTATTTACTTAAAATGCGGAAACATTAAAGATAATTAATTTGCAAATTTAAACCTCTTAACTAGAGCAAAAGGAAAATAAGCTAAATAAGTTGTAGAATAGACATCCACACACAAATCGTCCTTCTTCTACTTTAAATATTTATATAATACATATAAACTTACACCTACAAGTAGTTTGAATTTTAAGAGTATGCACCTAAAAATAGTCTACATATTGTTTGAATTAGCAAGTAGGTGTGAGTGTGGTTGTAGAGATACGAGAACTAAAACATGCATTTTAGTTAAACAATATTATGTTTTTGGATAATTTGAATATGTTTATAAGGTAAAATATGGAAGACAAACGTCAAAAGGTGTTTTAAATTAAATACATAGACATACATACATGCACAAATAAATTTTAGAATAGCTAGTAATTTACGACATTTGCACCATTTCAGCAAGTTATTATATAAAAACAGGGTAAAGTTTATAAATTAATTATTAGAAATCTTATAGAAACTCTTTAGCTCTTTGGAGGATTGTTCCTTTGCCAACAGTTTTTACTGTAATCGTTTTTAAACACGTATTTGTTCTTGAACACGATATTACTTATGGCTTTGCATTCAAGCAATTGTATGTAAATATTAAATATTTCATATACTTTTTCATACATATATGTGTATTTATATATAAATATACACATGATAGTAGTTGTTTTTTGATACCCTTCGTAATGTTATTTTACCAAAACCCTAGAAAATTAATTATGCACACACATGTTTAGATTTCTTACATTAGGTTATAAACATACATATTACAGCCATGGACAATTTATATTTTGAAATAGTCTAGAACATAGACTAGACTATAGACTAGACTATAGGCAAGACTATAGACCAGACTATAGACTAGACTATAGACTAGAATAAAGACTAGACTATAGACTAGACTATAGACTATATTATAGACTAGACTATAGACTAGACTATAGACTATACTATAGACTAGACTATAAACTAGCCTATAGACTAGACTATAGACTAGACTATAGACTAGACTATAGACTAAACTATAGACTAAACTATAGACTAGACTATAAACTAGACTATAGACTAGACTATAGACTAGACTATAGACTAGACTATGGACTAGATTATAGACTAGACTATGGACTATACTATACACTAGACTATAGACTAGACAATAGACTAGACTATGGACTAGACTATAGACTAGACTATAGACTAGACTATAGACTAGACTATAGACTAGACTATAGACTAGACTATAGACTAGACTATAGGCTAGACTATAGTCTAGAGTATAGACTAGACTATAGTCTAGACTGTAGACTAGACTATAGACTAGACTATAGACTAGACTAGACTATAGACTAGACTATAGACTAGACTATAGACTAGACTATAGACTAGACTATAGACTAGACTATAGACTAGACTATAGACTAGACTATAGACTAGACTATAGACTAGACTATAGACTAGACTATAGACTAGACTATAGACTAGACTATAGACTAGACTATAAACTAGACTATAGACTAGAATATAGACTAGACTATAGACTAGACTATGGACTAGATTATAGACCAGACTATGGACTATACTATACACTAGACTATAGGCTAGACTATAGACTAGACTATAGACTAGACTATGGACTAAACTATAGACTAGACTATAGACTAGACTATAGGCTAGACTATAGTCTAGAGTATAGACTGGACTATAGACTAGATTATAGTCTAGACTAAAGACTAGACTATAGACTAGACTATAGACTAGAGTCTAGTCTATAGTCTAGTCTATAGTCTATAGTCTAGTCTTCAGTCTAGACTTTAGTCTAGTCTATAGTCTAGTCTATAGTCTAATCTATAGTCTAGTCACTAGACTATAGATTAGACTATAGACTAGACTATAGAGTAGACTGAGACTATAGATAACTACTACTAGACTATAGATAGACTTAGACTAGACTACAGACTAGACTGTAGTCTAGATTATAGACTATACTATAAGACTAGATATTATAGACTAGACTATAACTAGACTAAAGACTAGACTATAGACTAGACTATAGTCCTAGATTATAGACTAACTATATACTAGACTATAGACTAGACGATAGACTAGACTATAGACTAGACTATAGACTAGACTATAGACTAGACTAACTGACTAGACTAGACTAGACTAAAAGACTAGACTAGACTAACTATAGACATACTATAGACTAGAATAACCTACTAACTAGACTAGACATAGACTAGACTATAGACTAGACTATAGACTGACTATAGACTAGAGTTAGAATTTTTCCGATAGACTAGACTATAGACTAGACTATAGACTAGACTATAGACAGACTAGACTAGACTAGACATAGACTAGACTAGACTAGACTAGACTAGACTAGACTATAGACTAGACTATAGACTAGACTACTAGACTAGCTAGACTATAGACTAGACTATAGACTAGACTAGACTAGACTAGACTATAGACTAGACTATAAGACTAGACTATAGACTAGACTATAACTAGACTATAGACTAGACTATAGACTAGACTATAGACTAGACTATAGACTAGACTATAGACTAGACTATAGACTAGACTATAGACTAGACTATAGACTAGACTATAGACTAGACTTAGACTAGACTATAGACTAGACTATAGACTAGACTATAGACTAGACTATAGACTAGACTATAGACTAGACTATAGACTAGACTATAGACTAGACTATAGACTAGACTATAGACTAGACTATAGACTAGACTATAGACTAGACTATAGACTAGACTATAGGACTAGACTATAGACTAGACTATAGACTAGACTATAGACTAACTATAGACTAGACTATAGACTAGACTATAGACTAGACTATAGACTAGACTATAGACTAGACTATAGACTAGACTAAGACTATAGACTATAGGACTCAGACTAGACTAGACTATAGACTAGACTATAGACTAAACTATAGACTAGACTATAGACTAGACTATAGACTAGACTATAGACTAGACTATAGACTAGACTATAGACTAGACTATAGACTAGGACTATAGACTAGATTATAGACTAGACTATAGACTAGACTATAGACTAGACTATAGACTAGACTATAGACTAGACTATAGACTAGACTATAGACTAGACTATAGACTAGATTATAGACTAGACTATAGACTGACTATAGACTAGACTATAGACTAGACTATAGACTAGACTATAGACTACACTATAGACTAGACTATAGACTACACTACACTACACTACACTACACTACACTACAACTACACTACACTACACTACACTGCACTGCACTACACTACTCTAGACTAGACTACTCTAGACTAGACTAGTCTAGACTAAACATAATACCTCTAGACTAGACTAGTCTAGACTAGACTAATCTAGACTAGACTAGTCTATAGACTAGACTAGTCTATAGACTAGACTAGTCTATAGACTAGACTAGTCTATAGACTAGACTAGTCTATAGACTAGACTAGTCTATAGACTAGACTAGACTATAGACCAGTCTATAGTCTAGTCTATAGTATAGTCTAGACTAGACTATAGACTAGACTATAGACTAGACTATAGACTAGACTATAGACTAGACTATAGACTAGACTATAGACTAGACTAACTAGACTATAGACTAGACTATAGACTAGACTATAGACTAGACTATAGACTAGACTATAGACTAGACTATAGACTAGACTATAGACTAGACTATAGACTAGACTATAGACTAGACTATAGACTAGACTATAAACTAGACTAAAGACTAGACTAAAGACTAAAACTATGGACTAGACTATAGATTAGACTATAGACTAGACTATAGACTAGACTATAGACTAGACTAGAGACTAGACTATAGACTAGACTATAGACTAGACTATAGACTAGACTATAGACTAGACTATAGACTAGACTATAGACTAGACTATAGACTAGACTATAGACTAGACTATAGACTAGACTAGACTAGACTATAGACTAGACTATAGACTAGACTATAGACTAGACTATAGACTAGACTATAGACTATACTATAGACTAGACTATAGACTAGACTATAGACTAGACTATAGACTAGACTATAGACTAGGACTATAGACTGACTAGACTAGACTATAGACTAGACTACAGACTAGACTATAGACTAGACTATAGACTAGACTATAGACTAGACTATAGACTAGACTATAGACTAGACTATAGACTAGACTATAGACTAGACTATAGACTAGACTATAGACTAGACTATAGACTATACTATAGACTATGCTATAGACTAGACTATAGACTTGACTATTGGCTAGACTAAAGACTAGACTATAGACTAGACTATAAACTAACTATGGACTAGACTATAGACTATACTATAGACTAGACTATAGACTGGACTATTGGCTAGACTATAGACTAATGTTAAAAAATACTGGAAAAAAGTACTATAGCACAAATTTTTCCATGTCTGCTATATTGTTTAAATCTGGTATTTGTTGTTGTATACATTTTTTTCTTTCCTCTTCATTGACTACAAAAAAGCAATTAACACAAGTAGCTATTACTTGCTGTATTCTTAATGTTTGTTTAAAATTGAAAAAGGATTTAAACAGCAAATTTGTGGTTTTTCATGAAACCAAAAAACATTATATTAAAAGTTTTTTTTAAATAATAATTTTCGTCTAATATTAAAAAAAGTGAAAAAAAATCTTACAATTTAATAACCTTGACTTTTTCTTCAAAAAAATCTAATATTTCAAGAAAAAATTTAACAAGTTTTAAATGTATAAGAAATTTTTGTTATATAAGCTAAAGAAAACCATACTTCTTTAATTAATAAGTATTTTAACAGAAAAGTTATTAAGGATTTTCCTTTTATACCACAAAAAATATTGAATTAATATTAATCATACGTCACCGTAGCAAAATATTTTTATTATTTAATTTAATACTTTTATGGAAAATTTAAACTAAATTTTACATGGAAAAACTACAAATTCTTAAATTTATAATAATTTCTTATAAAATTTGACTTCAATATCATAATTTATCTCCTTCAATTAAAATTTTCTTTAAAAATCTATCTTTTCCATTTAAAAATTTCTATAAATTTTTTGTAAATTGTTGTAAAAATCTCAATATTTTGCCAAAAACTTAAATCTATATAAATATTTAAACTATAAATTATTTTTAATGAAATTACATTTAATTTAAGCCTTTTAGTTAAGTATTTTTCTTATTTTGTTTTTCCAGTTAAAATAAATCTTCTGCTACAGTTACACACTGCTAGTTGTTGTTTCCCATTAACATTTTTGTACATATAAATAAATTTAAGTTTTGTTCTGCAAATGTGTAACATAATTGTATTTAAAAGCCATTAATTTTATACTTTATTTCAACAGTATAAAAAAAAATAATATTATTTTGCTGAATCGTATAATTTATGGTCCATGGGCTATTAAAGAAGAAGTATTGGTTGGCAGGCGAAAATTTGTTGCATTTAACATTATAAATATATAAAAATTTATAAAAAAAAAAGTTTTATATAGTATACATACTTTTAGGGGTATGGCCCATACATAATGAGCAATCCAAAAGAAGGACATTATATTCAAAGTATCTTCGGACATCAATTTGTAATGGCACCAATATCACTTAAAGCTGCAAATAGTAAAGATAAAAAAATTAAAAGTGATTAGCTCGGGATGTTTTAAAATTTATGAGCCAAAGTAAAACTAAAAATATTTGCAATGCAGCAATTTGTAAAAGAAAATACAATAATTTAAAAGGAGGGCTGTAGCAGCAAACTTTCTTTAGTCTAAACTTTAGTCAAGACCATGGTATAGATAATAGCCCAAACGATAGCCTAATTATATAACCAGTCTACATGTCTTTAGCTCTGACTACATATATCCACCGACTATAGACTATTGTCTGGACTAGTCTATAGTTTAGTCTATAGTCAAGTCTGTCTAGTCTATAGTCTAGTCTATAGTCTAGTCTATAGTCTAGTCTATAGTCCTAGTCTATAGTCAGTCTATAGTCTAGTCTATAGTCTAGTCTATAGTCTAGTCTATGGTCTAGTCTATAGTCTAGTCTATAGTCTAGTCTATAGTCTATGTCTATAGTCTAGTCTATAGTCTAGTCTATAGTCTAGTCTATAGTCTAGTCATATTAGTCTAGTCTAGTCCTATAGTCCTAGTCTATAGTCTAGTCTATAGTCTAGTCTATAGTCTAGTCTATAGTCTAGTCTATAGTCTAGTCCTATAGTCAGTCTATAGTCTAGTCTATATTCTAGTCTATCTAGTCTAGTCTATAGTCTAGTCTATAGTCTAGTCCTATAGTCTAGTCTATAGTCTAGTCTATAGTCTAGTCTATAGTCTAGTCTATAGTCTAGTCTATAGTCTAGTCTATAGTCTAGTCTATAGTCTAGTCTATAGTCTAGTCTATAGTCTAGTCTATAGTCTAGTCCTATAGTCCTAGTCTATAGTCTAGTCTAGCTAGTCTATAGTCTAGTCTATAGTCTAGTCTATAGTCTAGTCTATAGTCTAGTCTATAGTCTAGTCCTATATCCTAGTCTATAGTCTAGTCTATAGCTACAGTCTTTAGCGCATATTTAATCATTTTAAACTTCCCTCGTTATTTAGAATATAATTTCTATGTCATTTCATTCAATGCCAATTTGCTAAGACCTTCAAACGCAATCCAATAACCAGCTCCTACACAGATCATTAGAAAGTTATTGATAAATACAAGTTATAGAAAATCAAGACATAAATCTAAACCTATTTGCTATTTTGGCTTTAAAAAACTATAAAAGCTAATTGACATATGAAGCAAAAATCTATTTGGCATAGAAATTCAGCACGTGCAAATTGTAAAACTAATGCTTTATACAAAACTCCTAAAAGGATATAATTTTATTCAAGGAAATTAGCCAGAAAGAATTTTACTTTGTGCATGATTCTAAGAAGAGATTTAATGATAGTGTTATGTAAAAATGTGACCCAGTTTCTTTTGATTATTAGAATGTACAATCAATCTGTAGTTTAGTTTATGATATATGTATTAACAAAATTCTTAAATAGGCTTTAGGAATAATAATATGACAATTCTTGGTTAATAAATTGTATTCATGACAGGTCTATTACAAGATATAATAATTTTGTTAAGCTTCCTTATGACAGCAGTAGCAGTGAGGCAAAAATTGTGTTCAAGTTTTAAGGCTAATAGTCTGGTCTATAGTCTAGTCTATAGTCTAGTCTATAGTCTAGTCTATAGTCTAGTCTATAGTCTAGTCTATAGTCTAGTCTATAGTCTAGTCTATAGTCTAGTCTATAGTCTAGTCTATAGTCTAGTCTATAGTCTAGTCTATAGTCTAGTCTATAGTCTAGTCTATAGTCTAGTCTATAGTCTAGTCTATAGTCTAGTCTATAGTCTAGTCTATAGTCTAGTCTATAGTCTAGTCTATAGTCTAGTCTATAGTCTAGTCTATAGTCTAGTCTATAGTCTAGTCTATAGTCTAGTCTATAGTCTAGTCTATAGTCTAGTCTAGTCTAGTCTATAGTCTAGTCTATAGTCTAGTCTATAGTCTACTCTATAGTCTAGTCTATAGTCTAGTCTATAGTCTAGTCTATAGTCTAGTCTATAGTCTAGTCTGTAGTCTAGTCTATAGTGTAGTCTATAGTCTAGTCTATAGTTTAGTCTATAGTCTCGTCTATAGTCTAGTCTATAGTCTAGTCTATAGTCTAGTCTATAGTCTAGTCTACAATCTAGTCTATAGTCTAATCTATAGTCTAGTCTATAGTCTAGTCTATAGTCTAGTCTATAGTCTAGTCTATAGTCTAGTCTATAGTCTAGCCTATAGTCTAGTCTATAGTCTAGTCTAGTCTATAGTCTAGTCTATAGTCTAGTCTATAGTCTAGTCTATAGTCTAGTCTATAGTCTAGTCTATAGTCTAGTCTATAGTCTAGTCTATAGTCTAGTCTATAGTCTAGTCTATAGTCTAGTCTATAGTCTAGTCTATAGTCTAGTCTATAGTCTAGTCTATAGTCTAGTCTATAGTCTAGTCTATAGTCTAGTCTATGGTCTAGTCTATAGTCTAGTCTATAGCCTAGTCTATAGTCTAGTCTATGGTCTAGTCTATAGTCTAGTCTATAGCCTAGTCTATAGTCTAGTCTATAGTCTAGTCTTAGTCTATATAGTCTAGTCTATAGTCTAGTCTATAGTCTAGTCTATGGTCTAGTCTATAGTCTAGTCTATAGTCTAGTCTATAGTCTAGTCTATAGTCTAGTCTATAGTCTAGTCTATAGTCTAGTCTATAGTCTAGTCTATAGTCTAGTCTATAGTCTAGTCTATAGTCTAGTCTATAGTCTAGTCTATAGTCTAGTCTAGTAGTCTAGTCTTCTATAGTCTAGTCTATAGTCTAGTCTATAGTCTAGTCTATAGTCTAGTCTATAGTCTAGTCTATAGTCTAGTCTATAGTCTAGTCTATAGTCTAGTCTATAGTCTAGTCTATAGTCTAGTCTATAGTCTAGTCTATAGTCTCTATAGTCTAGTCTATAGTCTAGTCTATAGTCTAGTCTATAGTCTAGTCTATAGTCTAGTCTATAGTCTAGTCTATAGTCTAGTCTATAGTCTAGTCTATAGTCTAGTCTATAGTCTAGTCTATAGTCTAGTCTATAGTCTAGTCTATAGTCTAGTCTATAGTCTAGTCTATAGTCTAGTCTATAGTCTAGTCTATAGTCTAGTCTATAGTCTAGTCTATAGTCTAGTCTATAGTCTAGTCTATAGTCTAGTCTATAGTCTAGTCTATAGTCTAGTCTATAGTCTAGTCTATAGTCTAGTCTATAGTCTAGTCTATAGTCTAGTCTATAGTCTAGTCTATAGTCTAGTCTATAGTCTAGTCTATAGTCTAGTCTATAGTCTAGTCTATAGTCTAGTCTATAGTCTAGTCTATAGTCTAGTCTATAGTCTAGTCTATAGTCTAGTCTATAGTCTAGTCTATAGTCTAGTCTATAGTCTAGTCTATAGTCTAGTCTATAGTCTAGTCTATAGTCTAGTCTATAGTCTAGTCTATAGTCTAGTCTATAGTCTAGTCTATAGTCTAGTCTATAGTCTAGTCTATAGTCTAGTCTATAGTCTAGTCTATAGTCTAGTCTATAGTCTAGTCTATAGTCTAGTCTATAGTCTAGTCTATAGTCTAGTCTATAGTCTAGTCTATAGTCTAGTCTATAGTCTAGTTATAGTCTAGTCTATAGTCTAGTCTATAGTCTAGTCTATAGTCTAGTCTATAGTCTAGTCTATAGTCTAGTCTATAGTCTAGTCTATAGTCTAGTCTATAGTCTAGTCTGTAGTCTAGTCTATAGTCTATCTATAGTCTAGTCTATAGTCTAGTCTATAGTCTAGTCTAGTAGTCTAGTCTATAGTCTAGTCTATAGTCTAGTCTATAGTCTAGTCTATAGTCTAGTCTATAGTCTAGTCTATAGTCTAGTCTATAGTCTAGTCTATAGTCTAGTCTATAGTAGTCTATAGTCTAGTCTATAGTCTAGTCTATAGTCTAGTCTATAGTCTAGTCTATAGTCTAGTCTATAGTCTAGTCTATAGTCTAGTCTATAGTCTAGTCTATAGTCTAGTCTATAGTCTAGTCTATAGTCTAGTCTATAGTCTAGTCTATAGTCTAGTCTATAGTCTAGTCTATAGTCTAGTCTATAGTCTAGTCTATAGTCTAGTCTATAGTCTAGTCTATAGTCTAGTCTATAGTCTAGTCTATAGTCTAGTCTATAGTCTAGTCTATAGTCTAGTCTATAGTCTAGTCTATAGTCTAGTCTATAGTCTAGTCTATAGTCTAGTCTATAGTCTAGTCTATAGTCTAGTCTATAGTCTAGTCTATAGTCTAGTCTATAGTCTAGTCTATAGTCTAGTCTATAGTCTAGTCTATAGTCTAGTCTATAGTCTAGTCTATAGTCTAGTCTATAGTCTAGTCTATAGTCTAGTCTATAGTCTAGTCTATAGTCTAGTTATAGTCTAGTCTATAGTCTAGTCTATAGTCTAGTCTATAGTCTAGTCTATAGTCTAGTCTAGTCTAGTCTATAGTCTAGTATAGTCTAGTCTATAGTCTAGTCTATAGTCTAGTCTATAGTCTAGTCTATAGTCTAGTCTATAGTCTAGTCTATAGTCTAGTCTATAGTCTAGTCTATAGTCTAGTCTATAGTCTAGTCTATAGTCTAGTCTATAGTCTAGTCTATAGTCTAGTCTATAGTCTAGTCTAAAGTCTAGTCTATAGTCTAGTCCATAGTCTAGTCTATAGTCTAGTCTATAGTCTAGTCCATAGTCTAGTCTATAGTCTAGTCTATAGTCTAGTCTATAGTCTATTCTATAGTCTAGTCTATAGTCTAGTCTATAGTCTAGTCTATAGTCTAGTCTATAGTCTAGTCTATAGTCTAGTCTATAGTCTAGTCTATAGTCTAGTCTATAGTCTAGTCTATAGTCTAGTCTATAGTCTAGTCTATAGTCTAGTCTATAGTCTAGTCTATAGTCTAGTCTATAGTCTAGTCTATAGTCTAGTCTATAGTCTAGTCTATAGTCTAGTCTATAGTCTAGTCTATAGTCTAGTCTATAGTCTAGTCTATAGTCTAGTCTATAGTCTAGTCTATAGTCTAGTCTATAGTCTAGTCTATAGTCTAGTCTATAGTCTAGTCTATAGTCTAGTCTATAGTCTAGTCTATAGTCTGTTGTTAGTACTATAGGTTATTCTATTTTCTTAAAAAAAAATCACATTTCATTAAAAACTTATAACTGTGTAGCGAAGGATGCCGGGTATGCCAGCGTAAGAAAATATGTATATTTTTTGTATTTAATTTACTTACAATTTTCCATTTCTTCTCTTTATCAATTTTATGGGCCTTAAGGTAATTGGAATCTTTATCAATATTATAACTCTGAATATTATCACAATTAGTATTCACACTATTTTCAATATTACTTCCGGCTATTCCAGGTGGTGGTATTGTACTATTACTAGCTTCATTTTTATGACCAGTAGTATTGTGACTGGTTGAGGTTGTTGTAGTTGTTGTTGGTGAATTAATGTTCGTTGTTATGGTGACATCAACACCACCGGCATTACCACCACCACCTCCAATACATGTTGAATTCAACAATAGTGTTTTACGATAAATAAGACCCTGCAGTGATGTCTTAATCCTTATGCCAGTCATATTGAGTATGTGTGTAGAGGCCTGTGATAAGGCACCCTGTGCCAATGCGGCTAAAAGTACTATCCATGCAATAGCCCAACCATTTGATAGTAAATCTAACCATGTTGGATAGTAAATTTTCACTTCAGCACCACTTGAGTAGAAATCGGAATACGGCGATGATGATGATGAGTAGGATGTGGTATCAATGTAATCGATGCCATTTGCAATTTGATTATACACATTGCTATTACTATTTGTGTGATTGTTGTTATTGTTGTAGCTGCTATTCGTATAAGTGTCATTTAAATTTGGCAACCATATTGATCCTGTAGCTGCTACATCTGCTGCTGATTCTTTTGCTTGTGTTACTACTTGTTTTATAGTTTTAACAACTGCTGCCTGTATGTTAATAGGACTTCTAATACTACGTCCTAAATATTCCTTGTGTTCGAAGGATAATGACGATGATACTGCTGCGGTAGCTTGTAATAATGCTGTTAGAGATGACAATGACGTTTGCATCTCTGGGGTGGTAATTGATGTATTGTTATTGCCTCTACTTATATTATTGCTGTTGGTTATATTGCTCTTGGTCGTATTCATTTGTAGTAATGCATTACTGTTGTTGTTGTTGCTGCTTTCATTGTATTGTATGGCATACATATTCTCAATGTATTGGACAATTTGTTGTATGGCCAGGGGCCAATCACCGCAAATAAATCACCAAACAATTTTAACAGGCCACCCAATGTGAACATCCGCCAACTGCTTTTCAAATAGCACAACCATAAAGATGGTGGTTTATTTGAATTTTTCTAAAAAACGATATGTGAAAAGAAAACAAAAAGAATAACAAATTATGTAATTGAGGAATTTTGGGAATGCTGACTAAGTAATAAGGCTTAAACCTAGCACTAAAATTAAACGGAAATAGAACTAAACTAGAGCTAAACTGGAACTGAACTAGTAAACTAGAACTAAACGAACTGAACTAGAACTAGAACTAAACTAGAACTAAACTGGAACTGAACTACGAACTAGAAGAACTAGAACAGAACTAGAACAGAACTAAACTAGAACAGAACTAGAACAGAACTAGAACAGAACTAGAACAGAACAGAACAGAACTAGAACAGAACTAGAACAGAACTAGAACAGAACTAGAACAGAACTAGAACAGAACTAGAACAGAACTAGAACAGAACTAGAACAGAACTAGAACAGAACTAGAACAGAACTAGAACAGAACTAGAACAGAACTAGAACAGAACTAGAACAGAACTAGAACAGAACTAGAACAGAACTAGAACAGAACTAGAACAGAACTAGAACAGAACTAGAACAGAACTAGAACAGAACTAGAACAGAACTAGAACAGAACTAGAACAGAACTAGAACAGAACTAGAACAGAACTAGAACAGAACTAGAACAGAACTAGAACAGAACTAGAACAGAACTAGAACAGAACTAGAACAGAACTAGAACAGAACTAGAACAGAACTAGAACAGAACTAGAACAGAACTAGAACAGAACTAGAACAGAACTAGAACAGAACTAGAACAGAACTAGAACAGAACTAGAACAGAACTAGAACGAACTAGAACAGAACTAGAACAGAACTAGAACAGAACTAGAACAGAACTAGAACAGAACTAGAACAGAACTAGAACAGAACTAGAACAGAACTAGAACAGAACAAACTAGAACAGAACAAAAAAGAACTAGAACAGAACTAGAACAGAACTAGAACAGAACTAGAACAGAACTAGAACAGAACTAGAACAGAACTAGAACAGAACTAGAACAGAACTAGAACAGAACTAGAACAGAACTAGAACAGAACTAGAACAGAACTAGAACAGAACTAGAACAGAACTAGAACAGAACTAGAACAGAACTAGAACAGAACTAGAACAGAACTAGAACAGAACTAGAACAGAACTAGAACAGAACTAGAACAGAACTAGAACAGACTAGAACAGAACTAGAACAGAACTAGAACAGAACTAGAACAGAACTAGAACAGAACTAGAACAGAACTAGAACAGAACTAGAACAGAACTAGAACAGAACTAGAACAGAACTAGAACAGAACTAGAACAGAACTAGAACAGAACTAGAACAGAACTAGAACAGAACTAGAACAGAACTAGAACAGAACTAGAACAGAACTAGAACAGAACTAGAACAGAACTAGAACTAGAACAGAACTAGAAAACTAGAACAGAACTAGAACAGAACTAGAACAGAACTAGAACAGAACTAGAACAGAACTAGAACAGAACTAGAACAGAACTAGAACAGAACTAGAACAGAACTAGAACAGAACTAGAACAGAACTAGAACAGAACTAGAACAGAACTAGAACAGAACTAGAACAGAACTAGAACAGAACTAGAACAGAACTAGAACAGAACTAGAACAGAACTAGAACAGAACTAGAACAGAACTAGAACAGAACTAGAACAGAACTAGAACAGAACTAGAACAGAACTAGAACAGAACTAGAACAGAACTAGAACAGAACTAGAACAGAACTAGAACAGAACTAGAACAGAACTAGAACAGAACTAGAACAGAACTAGAACAGAACTAGAACAGAACTAGAACAGAACTAGAACAGAACTAGAACAGAACTAGAACAGAACTAGAACAGAACTAGAACAGAACTAACAGAACTAGAACAGAACTAGAACAGAACTAGAACAGAACTAGAACAGAACTAGAACAGAACTAGAACAGAACTAGAACAGAACTAGAACAGAACTAGAACAGAACTAGAACAGAACTAGAACAGAACTAGAACAGAACTAGAACAGAACTAGAACAGAACTAGAACAGAACTAGAACAGAACTAGAACAGAACTAGAACAGAACTAGAACAGAACTAGAACAGAACTAGAACAGAACTAGAACAGAACTAGAACAGAACTAGAACAGAACTAGAACAGAACTAGAACAGAAAAACCCCCCCTCGCCCCCGCCCGCCCGCATCGCCCCGCCACTCGCCCCCGACTCGCCCGCCCTCGCACAGCCCTAGCCCCGCCCCCGCCAGAACTAGAACAGAACTAGAACAGAACTAGAACAAACTAGAACAGAACTAGAACAGAACTAGAACAGAACTAGAACAGAACTAGAACAGAACTAGAACAGAACTAAACAGAACTAGAACTGAACTAGAAGAACTAGAACAGAACTAGAACAGAACTAGAGAACTAGAAAAGAACTAGAACAGAACTAGAAAAGAACTAGAACAGAACTAGAACAGAACTAGAACAGAACTAAAACAGAACCAGAACAGAACTAGAACTGAACTAGAACTGAACTAGAACAGAACTAGAACAGAACTAGAAAGAACTAGAACAGAACTAGAACAGAACTAGAACAGAACTAGAACAGAACTAGAACAGAACTAGAACAGAACTAGAACAGAACTAGAACAGAACTAGAACAGAACTAGAACAGAACTAGAACAGAACTAGAACAGAACTAGAACAGAACTAGAACAGAACTAGAACAGAACTAGAACAGAACTAGAACAGAACTAGAACAGAACTAGAACAGAACTAGAACAGAACTAGAAAGAATAACAGAACTAGAACAGAACTAGAAACAGAACTAGAACAGAACTAGAACAGAACTAGAACAGAACTAGAACAGAACTAGAACAGAACTAGAACAGAACTAGAACAGAACTAGAACAGAACTAGAACAGAACTAGAACAGAACTAGAACAGAACTAGAACAGAACTAGAACAGAACTAGAACAGAACTAGAACAGAACTAGAACAGAACTAGAACAGAACTAGAACAGAACTAGAACAGAACTAGAACAGAACTAGAACAGAACTAGAACAGAACTAGAACAGAACTAGAACAGAACTAGAAACAGAACTAGAACAGAACTAGAACAGAACTAGAACAGAACTAGAACAGAACTAGAACAGAACTAGAACAGAACTAGAACAGAACTAGAACAGAACTAGAACAGAACTAGAACAGAACTAGAACAGAACTAGAACAGAACTAGAACAGAACTAGAACAGAACTAGAACAGAACTAGAACAGAACTAGAACAGAACTAGAACAGAACTAGAACAGAACTAGAACAGAACTAGACAGAACTAGAACAGAACTAGAACAGAACTAGAACAGAACTAGAACAGAACTAGAACAGAACTAGAACAGAACTAGAACAGAACTAGAACAGAACTAGAACAAACTAGAACAGAACTAGAACAGAACTAGAACAGAACTAGAACAGAACTAGAACAGAACTAGAACAGAACTAGAACAGAACTAGAACAGAACTAGAACAGAACTAGAACTAGAACAGAACTAGAACAGAACTAGAACAGAACTAGAACAGAACTAGAACAGATCTAGAACAGAACTAGAACAGAACTAGAACAGAACTAGAACAGAACTAGAACAGAACTAGAACAGAACTAGAACAGAACTAGAACAGAACTAGAACAGAACTAGAACAGAACAGAACTAGAACAGAACTAGAACAGAACTAGAACAGAACTAGAACAGAACTATAACTGAACTATAACTGAACTATAGTGTAGTCTCTAGGCTAATTTGTAGTATATACTCAAGACTATAGTCTTGTCCATTGTCTAGTGTATAGTCTTCTTTAGTCTACCCTATAATCTAGTCTATAGTCTAATCCATAGTCTAGTATGAAGGCTAGCCGGTAATTTAGTTTATAGTGTAATCTATAGCATAGTCTATAGTGTCGTCTATAAAACCAATTATATTTCCATTTTAATATATTTAAGTTTTAATAATTAAACAACCAAATGTAAAATTTTTCCTCATTATAAAGAGAGATTGAAAAATGAAAACAAAAAGTCACAAAATAAACATTAACAGCAATTAATTTACGCATTTTTTTAAACCTCAATCAACGGTAAATAATTTGAAAAACAAAATAAAAACGATATAACAAAGAAGTAATCAATAGTTAATTAATGTAAGAGGTGAATTATTAAGAGGGAGTTAAAAATAAATATTTACTTTGCATAAAAACACATACATACATAGGTACATATGTATACAACTGTATTGAAAATTTGGTTTTTGTTTAAAGCCAAACAAAGAGGAAAATTCATTGAATGGTATTAATTAACTTTATTGGAAGCAACTTACCACTTTTGCTGTTTGTAGATTAATAAAAAGCGATCATAATGAGCCCGAGCACTATCCTCTACACGCATTTGACCCAAATCCTCCAATTCCAAAGGTTCTTTATAGCCAAACCAAAGTAAAGGTGTTAGCCACCAGAAACAGGCTTTAGAATAGAAAGTAGCCAATGTGTGGCGATAGCCGATTTTGTCATAATCTTCCAAATAGTCAGGACGATAGCGCTGCAAAGAGAAAGATAGAAAAATTGTGATAAAAAAAGAGTTTTCTTTTATTCTTTGTTTGGGTTGAAGGGGGCGTATGATTAATATTAATTCAGGGGTGGTTTATTAAATTTTGTTATAACTTTTTTGTGGATTGTTGGAATGAAATTTTAAAAACTGTTTTAAAAAGCTTATAAAATTAGCTCTTATTTGTAGTTTAATATTAAGCAATAGAGTTTGAAATTTATGTAAAATATTGCAATGTGATTGGTGATTGTTTTATTTTTTTCTAAAAATTTCTAGTTTATTTCAGTTCAGGGTTATTTTTGTTACAAAATCTATTGTTAAATGTTATGCTATTTTACTAATTATAGTTTTTCCAATAACTATTGTTGTAAATGTTAATATTTTGCTAATAAACTATTAGCAATTAATGCAAATAAACTCAAAGCTTTATTTGTATTAAGGGGGGTTTTTAATCATAAGGGGTTTATAGATGTTTTATTACAAAGTAATAAATATATTTTACCATTAGTTGTATTTAGTTGCCAAGTCTAGAGGGTTTTAAAATTTTGCAAAAAAAAATAATAGAAAAAAATCTTGCTTTTCAAACGCTTAAAACGTCCTTCAAACTAGAAATCTAAAAACAAAATAATAATAATAACAAAAGCATACACACGAACAACAGGAGCAAACGTCTAACAAACAGTTACAAGCGGAAAATAATATGCAAACAATATAGGAAATGTACGTGTAATAGAGGATCCCTAAAGGAAGTCACTTGTAGTACGTTTTGAGTTTAGTTTTATTTCATCTTTTTACGTGGCAGTTGCAGCAGCAATAAATGTTAGTTTTATGCATTTAGGAAATATAGTAAGATGAGCAGGATGAGCCAGCCAGCCTTGTTGGGCATTGTTTTAGCTTAAAAACCAAAATAAAAAAATTTTTGCAAAATTTTGTTTAAAAAATAGTTAGAAGGTTGTATATTTTTGAACTCTTTTGTTTTTCTATAAATATTAATGCAGTTGTATTTATTAAATATTTATAAATTCTTTTAAATCTTAAAATAACCTCCTTAAATGTTTTAGTATTATTATAGGGAAAAGGCAACAGTCTAGGTAAAAAAGGAAAAATATTATTCTTAAAAACAATAGTCTAGTCTATAGTCTAGTCTACAGTCTAGTCTATAGTCTAGTCTATAGTCTAGTCTATAGTCTAGTCTATAGTCTAGTCTATAGTCTAGTCTATAGTCTAGTCTATAGTCTAGTCTATAGTCGTCTATAGTCTAGTCTATAGTCTAGTCTATAGTCTAGTCTATAGTCTAGTCTATAGTCTAGTCTATAGTCTAGTCTATAGTCTAGTCTATAGTCTAGTCTATAGTCTAGTCTATAGTCTAGTCTATAGTCTAGTCTATAGTCTAGTCTATAGTCTAGTCTATAGTCTAGTGTATAGTCTAGTCTATAGTCTAGTCTATAGTCTAGTCTATAGTCTAGTCTATAGTCTAGTCTATAGTCTAGTCTATAGTCTAGTCTATAGTCTAGTCTATAGTCTAGTCTATAGTTAGTCTATAGTCTACTCTATAGTCTAGTCTATAGTCTAGTCTATAGTCTAGTCTATAGTCTAGTCTATAGTCTAGTCTATAGTTTAGTCTAGTCTCTAGTTTAGTCTAGTCTATAGTCTAGTATAGTCTAGTCTATAGTCTAGTCTATAGTCTAGTCTATAGTGTAGTCTATAGTCTAGTCTATAATCTAGTCTATAGTCTAGTCTATAGTCTAGTCTATAGTCTAGTCTATAGTCTAGTCTATAGTCTAGTCTATAGTCTAGTCTATAGTCTAGTCTATAGTCTAGTCTATAGTCTAGTCTATAGTCTAGTCTATAGTCTAGTCTATAGTCTAGTCTATAGTCTAGTCTATAGTCTAGTCTAGTCTAGTCTATAGTCTAGTCTATAGTCTAGTCTATAGTCTAGTCTATAGTCTAGTCTATAGTCTAGTCTAGTCTATAGTCTAGTCTATAGTCTAGTCTATAGTCTAGTCTATAGTCTAGTCTACAGTCTAGTCTATAGTCTAGTCTACAGTCTAGTCTATAGTCTAGTCTATAGTATAGTCTATAGTCTAGTCTATAGTCTAGTCTATAGTCTAGTCTATAGTCTAGTCTATAGTCTAGTCTATAGTCAAGTCTATAGTCTAGTCTATAGTCTAGTCTATAGTCTAGTCTATAGTCTAGTCTATAGTGTAGTCTATAGTCTAGTCTATAGTCTAGTCTATAGTCTAGTCTATAGTCTAGTCTATAGTCTAGTCTATAGTCTAGTCTATAGTCTAGTCTATAGTCTAGTCTATAGTCTAGTCTATAGTCTAATCTATAGTCTAGTCTATAGTCTAGTCTATAGTCTAGTCTATAGTCTAGTCTATAGTCTAGTCTATAGTCTAGTCTATAGTCTAGTCTATAGTCTAGTCTATAGTCTAGTCTATAGTCTAGTCTATAGTCTAGTCTATAGTCTAGTCTATAGTTTAGTCTATAGTCTACTCTATAGTCTAGTCTATAGTCTAGTCTATAGTCTAGTCTATAGTCTAGTCTATAGTCTAGTCTATAGTCTAGTCTATAGTCTAGTCTATAGTTTAGTCTAGTCTCTAGTTTAGTCTAGTCTATAGTCTAGTCTATAGTCAGTCTATAGTCTAGTCTATAGTCTAGTCTATAGTCTAGTCTATAGTGTAGTCTATAGTCTAGTCTATAGTGTAGTCTATAGTCTAGTCTATAATCTAGTCTATAGTCTAGTCTATAGTCTAGTCTATAGTCTAGTCTATAGTCTAGTCTATAGTCTAGTCTATAGTCTAGTCTATAGTCTAGTCTATAGTCTAGTCTATAGTCTAGTCTATAGCTAGTCTATAGTCTAGTCTATAGTCTAGTCTATAGTCTAGTCTAGTCTATAGTCTAGTCTATAGTCTAGTCTATAGTCTAGTCTATAGTCTAGTCTATAGTCTAGTCTACAGTCTAGTCTATAGTCTAGTCTACAGTCTAGTCTATAGTCTAGTCTATAGTCTAGTCTATAGTCTAGTCTATAGTCTAGTCTATAGTCTAGTCTATAGTCTAGTCTATAGTCTAATCTATAGTCTAGTCTATAGTCAAGTCTATAGTCTAGTCTATAGTCTAGTCTATAGTCTAGTCTATAGTCTAGTCTATAGTCTAGTCTATAGGTAGTCTATAGTCTAGTCTATAGTCTAGTCTATAGTCTAGTCTATAGTCTAGTCTATAGTCTAGTCTATAGTCTAGTCTATAGTCTAGTCTATAGTCTAGTCTATAGTCTAGTCTATAGTCTAGTCTATAGTCTAGTCTATAGTCTAGTCTATAGTCTAGTCTATAGTCTAGTCTATAGTCTAGTCTATAGTCTAGTCTATAGTCTAGTCTATAGTCTAGTCTATAGTCTAGTCTATAGTCTAGTCTATAGTCTAGTCTATAGTCTAGTCTATGTCTAGTCTATAGTCTAGTCTATAGTCTAGTCTATAGTCTAGTCTATAGTCTAGTCTATAGTCTAGTCTATAGTCTAGTCTATAGTCTAGTCTATAGTCTAGTCTATCTATAGTCTATAGTCTAGTCTATAGTCTAGTCTATAGTCTAGTCTATAGTCTAGTCTATAGTCTAGTCTATAGTCTAGTCTATAGTCTAGTCTATAGTCTAGTCTATAGTCTAGTCTATAGTCTAGTCTATAGTCTAGTCTATAGTCTAGTCTATAGTCTAGTCTATAGTCTAGTCTATAGTCTAGTCTATAGTCTAGTCTATAGTCTAGTCTATAGTCTAGTCTATAGTCTAGTCTATAGTCTAGTCTATAGTCTAGTCTATAGTCTAGTCTATAGTCTAGTCTATAGTCTAGTCTATAGTCTAGTCTATAGTCTAGTCTATAGTCTAGTCTATAGTCTAGTCTATAGTCTAGTCTATAGTCTAGTCTATAGTCTAGTCTATAGTCTAGTCTATAGTCTAGTCTATAGTCTAGTCTATAGTCTAGTCTATAGTCTAGTCTATAGTCTAGTCTATAGTCTAGTCTATAGTCTAGTCTATAGTCTAGTCTATAGTCTAGTCTATAGTCTAGTCTATAGTCTAGTCTATAGTCTAGTCTATAGTCTAGTCTATAGTCTAGTCTATAGTCTAGTCTATAGTATAGTCTATAGTCTAGTCTATAGTCTAGTCTATAGTCTAGTCTATAGTCTAGTCTATAGTCTAGTCTATAGTCTAGTCTATAGCTAGTCTATAGTCTAGTCTATAGTCTAGTCTATAGTCTAGTCTATAGTCTAGTCTATAGTCTAGTCTATAGTCTAGTCTATAGTCTAGTCTATAGCCTAGTCTATAGTCTAGTCTATAGTCTAGTCTATAGTCTAGTCTATCGTCTAGTTATAGTCTAGTCTATAGTCTAGTCTATAGTCTAGTATAGTCTAGTCTATAGCCTAGTCTGTATAGTCTATAGTCTAGTCTATAGTCTAGTCTATAGTCTAGTCATAGTCTAGTCTATTGTCTAGTCTATAGTCTAGTCTATAGACTAGTCTATAGTCTAGTCTATAGTCTAGTCTATAGTCTAGTCTATAGTCTAGTCTATAGTCTAGTCTATAGTCTAGTCTATAGACTAGTCCATATTCTAATAGTAAAATTTTTCTAATTTGGCCACCACTTTCTCCTCCACTGTTTAACTTTAATGCTAACAAAAATTTTGTTTAAAATTTATTTCATTCCAACCAAACCCCTACACACTTTTTTCCTAAACATGTCTGTATAAATTTTCTCGCTCTTTATTTTCTTTTAGCATGAAACCTCACACATATATACATACATACTTCCTTTATTATTTATTTCTGTTAGAAAGCTTAACCTCAATTAATTTGTAAACATATTAAAATCTCTTATAAAATTTTCAGTTATTTAAATTCGTTTTTTCCTGTAACTTGTTTACGTAAAAAGGGTTTCGTTTCTTTTCTATTCACTATATTTGGCAAATCTCTGTACCGCACACACACACACAAATGAAATCTTCTTAACTC